CCAATCTATGCTCTTGGTCTCCCAACTGAATGCCAAATAAATCAGTTTGCATTCTTATCATCATTGCCAAGGGTTCTATAGCTAAAGCAAATAGCATTGGAGATAACGGGCAACCCTGGCGAGTGGAACGTTCTAAAGTGAAAGGTTTGGAAGCTAAGTTGTTTGTCCAAACACTGGCTTCGGGAATTGTATACAAAAGCTTAACCCATTTGAGGAAATTGCATCCAAATCCATATCTTGGGAGAACATTAAATAGATCTGACCATTCAATTCTGTCAAAGGCCTGACGAGCGTCAAGTGATAATACAGCTGTATCTTTAGCATCAAATTTCTCATGAATTATGTTTAGGACTCTCCTTATATTGTGAAACCCTTGACGTTTTGGTACAAAGCCATTTTGATCGTTATGAACTAAATGTGAGATAAAGGGGTCTAATCTTTTTGCTAAAACTTTACAGAGTATTTTAGTGTCCACCCCCGTCAGACTTATTGGTCTAAACGAAGAGCACTCCTCAGGGGGTTTACCAGGTTTCAATAAAAATGTGATCATTGCTTGTCTCAGAGTGGGTGGGAGAACTTCATTTCTAAATGCTTCTTCATACATGTTGAATTGAATTCAATTCAATTCAAAATACTTTATTAATCCCAAAGGGAAATTATTTTTTGTTGTAGCTCGTTATCCTCATTTCATTAAGAGATGTTATAGATGCTGATGCTGTAGACAGGAAGGATCTCTTGTAAAGGTCCATCTCACAGAGGATCCTAAGAAACTGGTCGCAGATGCCGTCCGATCCGTCCACCCAGACTCAGCAGGCCTCTCAGTTCCCCCGGGCTGTAGGACCACCTGAATGCCGGGCAGAACTCCTCCCAGAGCGATGGCCACTCCTCCCAGCAGTCTGCCGAGCTCCTTGTCACTGTGGACAGTCAACTGTAGGTGCCGAGGAACGATCCTGTCCTTTCGCTGTCCTGAGCCATGTTTCCTGCTAGTTCCAGGATCTCAGTGGTCAGACACTCAAGCACAGCTGGCAGGTAGATGAGAATGCATCCACAGAACATCCTTTCAACTCATTTGAGATTTGGGGCTGTAGTTGAGATATTATTTGAGCTTTTGAGATGTTAATCAGCTGCTGGTTGTAGAAAACTGCCTTGTTGCCATGGTTATGCATCATAACAAAATGTCCAAAACTAAAACAAGTTTCAGTAAAAATCCTTTGAGCTGCACAGCATCTGATACCAGAGGAAACAATCATCAATCATCCAAAAAATGTGATTTACATCCAGAAAAAGACGAATTAAAGTTTCCAAAAGTAAAATCTCAGAATAAAAGTAACAGAGCTGCTCCAACATGCTGCCACCTTGAGCGGCGCAATTCTAGAACAAGAGTGGGACTATAAGTTTTTCTTTGAAAGTTTTGTAGAATTCAATGGGAAAGCCGTCCAGTCCAGGAGCTTTACCACTATTGATACTCTGTATGGCTTGTGAAATTTCTTCAATCTTTAAGTTTATGTCCAACTCCTTTTCTGTCTCTTCTGTATGCTTTGAATCCTTCCCATCTCACTGAGGCGCAAGTCTGACCTGTGTTAAATTCAAAGTATGTGTCTATCTTCTCCCCTATCAATTTGACAAATTTTTG